ACTATATCTCTATACTATATCTACTATATCTACTATATCTCTATACTATATCTACTATATCTACTATATCTACTATATCTCTATACTATATCTACTATATCTACTATATCTCTATACTATATCTACTATATCTCTATACTATATCTACTATATCTACTATATCTACTATATCTCTATACTATATCTACTATATCTACAATATCTCTATACTATATCTACTATATCTACTATATCTCTATACTATATCTACTATATCTACTATATCTACTATATCTACTATATCTACTATATCTCTATACTATATCTACTATATCTACAATATCTCTATACTATATCTACTATATCTACTATATCTCTATACTATATCTACTATATCTACTATATCTCTATCCTATATCTACTATATCTACAATATCTCTATACTATATCTACTATATCTACAATATCTCTATACCATATCTACTATATCTACTATATCTCTATACTATATCTACTATATCTCTATCCTATATCTACTATATCTACAATATCTCTATACTATATCTACTATATCTACAATATCTCTATACTATATCTACTATATCTACTATATCTCTATACTATATCTAATATATATACTATATCTACTATATCTCTATCCTATATCTACTATATCTACTATATCTACTATATCTCTATACTATATCTACTATATCTACTATATTTACTATATTTCTATACTACATCTACTATATCTACAATATCTCTATACTATATCTACTATATCTACTATATCTCTATACTATATCTACTATATCTACTATATCTAAAATATATATATAGTATATCTACTATATCTACTATATCTCTATACTATATCTACTATATCTACTATATCTCTATACTATATCTACTACATCTACTATATCTCTATACTATATCTACTATATCTACTATATCTCTATACTATATCTACTATATCTACTATATCTCTATACTATATCTACTATATCTCTATACTATATACTATATATTTTTATTTTTTTATTTAACCTTTATTTAACCAGGTAAGCCAGTTAATTACAGATGGGCTAATTACAGATGGGCTGTGTACAGGTACAGTGATCGGTAAGCTGCACTGACAACTGATGCTTAAGGTTAGTGAGGGAGATAAGTGTCTCCAGCTTCAGAGATTTTTGCAGTTCGTTCCAGTCATTTGCAGCAGAGAACTGGAAGGATGGCGACCAAAGGAGGTGTTGGCTTTGGGGATGACCAGTGAGATATACCTGCTGGAGCGCATACTACGGGTGGGTGTTGCTATGGTGACCAATGAGCTAAGATAAGGCGGGGATTTGCCTAGAAGGGATTTATAGATGACCTGGAGCCAGTGGGTTTGGCGACTAATATGTAGTGAGGGCCAGCCAACGAGAGCGTACAGGTCACAATGGTGGGTAGTATATGGGGCTTTGGTGACAAAACGGATGGCACTGTGATAGACTACATCCAATTTGCTGAGTAGAGTGTTGGAGGCTATTTTGTAAATTACATCGCCGAAGTCATGGATCGGTAGGATAGTCAGTTTTACGAGGGCATGTTTAGCAGCATGAGTGAAGGCGGCTTTGTTGCGAAATAGGAAGCCGATTCAAGATTTAACCTTGGATTGGAGATACTTAATGTGAGTCTGGAAGGAGAGTTTACAGTCTAACCAGACACCTAGGTATTTGTAGTTGTCCACATATTCTAAGTCAGAGCCGCCGAGAGTAGTGATTCTAGTCGGGCAGGCGGGTGCAAGCAGCATTCGATTGAAGAGCATGCATTTAGTTTTACTAGCGTTTAAGAGCAGTGGGAGGCCACGGAAGGAGTGTTGTATGGCATTGAAGCTTGTTTGGAGGTTTGTTAACACAGTGTCCAATGAAGGGCCAGATGTATACAAAATGGTGTCGTCTGCGTAGAGGTGGATCTCTATACTATATCTACTATATCTACTATATCTCTATACTATATCTACTATATCTACTATATCTACTATATCTACTATATTTCTATACTATATCTACTATATCTACTATATCTCTATACTATATCTACTATATCTACTATATCTACTATATCTACTATATCTATATACTATATCTACTATATCTACTATATCTACTATATATACTATACCTCTATACTATATCTACTATATCTCTATACTATATCTACTATATATACTCTATACTATATCTACTATATCTACTATATCTACTATATCTACTATATCTAGTACTCTGATCTCTGTGACAACTGCTGGAGTTATGCATTTGAAGCAAAGTGCTGTGCAACAATCTGAACAATGTATTTCACCTGTGATAAATTAACTGTAAACTGTGATCTATTAGAGGCGAAGGCATCTATCATAAAGGTTGAGAAGCAGGGTGGAGCCGGTCCGGGTGACTGCACCGTGGGATCCCTGCAACGTGACCCTAATATGCCCGACTGGCCAGACAGCCAGATGGCCCAAGCAACAGACAGGCCAATAAGTGAACAGTGACCTGACACACACCCACCCATAGGGGCACGCGGGCATACGGGGGACATCCATGCACACATCCATGCATTCACAAAGATAGGGACAAGTGCATAGTTGATGGATGGACTCACATGCAACAAACAAATACACACACAGATGGATAATGCATGTGTAGCAAGCGGACGAACACCCTTGTACACTCTTACACACAGGAGGCACATGCACGTACAGACAGACACACTCAAGCAGACGAACACAGACGGACACATTATCTCTCACACGAATGCCCGTTGTGCTTGCTAAAGCCTTTCATTTATTATCTAAAATTGATCCTAAACCAGGAAGTGCCATTAAGCCCAAAGACCTAAAAGTCCACCCCACCAGCAGTGGCATGTCTCTCACCTGTTTGGCCACCTCGGCTAGCAGTAGTGTTTTCCCCGTGCACGGCCCACCGTAGACCACCAGGGGGCTCATCCTGCTCCCCTTAGACGGCAGCAGATACTCCTGCACCAGGTCCAGGGTCTCGCTCTTATAATCGTAGAAGGCCGAGAAGTTCTTACACAGGGACAGGTGCTGAAGGATCTCGTCGTACAGAGGGTCCGTCTCTGTGTCAAAGTTCTGCTGGACCGTGGCCTGAATGATGTCCACCATATCCTCGTAGAACTGTTTACACAAGCCTTCGACGTAGTGGCTCTCCACCTCCTGGGAGTAGCCCAGCTTCATGTCGCAGTGCGTCACAGAGGAGTAGACGCGGAGGTTGGACGAGGCCACCACGGTGGGGATAAACTCGTCCCGCACCTTTAAAAGACGTTCGTAGGCTTCCTGGTTACGCATTACGCGGTCCTCTGAGACGACGATGTCCATGTACTTGGCCATCTCTGGGAGCTTGGCGTGCCGGTCGAAGTTGGAGATCTTGCGGATGTAGCAGACACACTTCTTGAGGAAGGCGGGCGTTTGTTTGCCCAAGGCGAAGTCCAGTTCGTCCTCCAAGGCTGGAAAAACGGGAGGAAAACAAACAATCAACGAATCAATTCAAAGTTAGAACATTTTAACCCTGAAGAAACTTGCTATACAATATTTCTGAGGAGTTAGGCTAACCCACACATGAGTTGGAGTCTTAATATTGTTCAAAGTTATGTGAGTTATTGTTCCTGTTGCCATGCTACAGGCTTCAAAAGGCCGGCACTGGCTGCTGTTGTGGGCTCCTAAGCTTGTCTTCAAAAACAGACTTGGAAGACTTGGGAGTCTTTAAGTAAAGCCGCACAGATTCTGGCAGTCTTTTTTAAGCCTGTCTTTAGTCTGCGATTATATATGTTTTCCCCCTAAGCCTTGTTTGAGGAGAAAGATGGTTGATACAATCACATAACTAGCATTGCAGCCTTATCACAGCCCCCCCCCCCCCCCCCCCCCCCCCCCCCCAAAGAGCCAGCTCTACTGAAACTCTGCCAGCATCTCCTGTGTAGTATCGCTCTCACTGCAGCGTGCTATAGAAGTGACTGTAAGAAAAGACAAGAGAGAAAAGAAGTGGAGAGAAACGCCGTTTGAAGCTCGGTATAGTCAATTAACTGGCATACTGAATGTATTTTTTTCCCCGCACACAAAATCATTGGCTATGCCTTTGAACAAATCAAACATGGAAATCTGCATGGTAATCAAGTCAAATGACTTTGTGTGAATTTGTAATGTCCAGATCGTATACGGCTCAGCAGGGGAACATAGTCAGAAACAACCCCCACCCCCCAAAAAAAAACTCCCCATGTATTATATTCATTACAAAGCAGGCTGCTGCTAACAGTGTTGCTGCTTTCTCTCTGGCTACAAACACATGGCCTACAAAAGAAACCCAGAGGGCACCCATGACACCAGTACATACAGAACATCAGCCTAGAAAGGCTACAGAGAGATGCACCGTGCAGATACCGGGAATATACTTACTTTTCTTTTCATCCTCAAAGTGGGTGATAGTGTCCAATTGGATCAGTGCTTTTAGTGTAATTAGACCCAATTTGGAACACTTTTGGAGCCCTCTAGGGCAGACCTACTTTAAAATTGTAAACACAGAGAGTAAGAATAAATATTCTGAGACATCTTTGAGGGTTATATCTGGGCTGCATGTGCAGGTTTATCTCTGTAGGACTCTCTGACGGTACATTAGCTCATGAGGAAAACCGATTGCTACAACAAAAATTATCACAATACTGCGGCCCTCTGTAGCTCAGCTGGTAGAGCACGGTGCTTGTAATGCCAAGGTAGTGGGTTCGATCCCCAGGACCACCCATACACAAAAATGCATGCGTGACTGTAAGTCGCTTTGGATAAAAGCGTCTGCTAAATGGCATATTATTGTTTAACTGATTTAACTAAAGCCTTCCAAGGTTAAATGTTTTAGGAGGTAAAATTAATGCACACACACATATCTTGGTAGTACAGTATAGCTCAATGAACACAATTATGTAAAACAAGAAAACACCACAGCACTGAATAACACAATATACTATACTGAGTTTCATGGTGCAACACCATAGAAGAAGAAGAAGAAGAAGAAGAAGAAGAAGAAGAAGAAGAAGAAGAAGAAGAAGAAGAAGAAGAAGAAGAAGAAGAAGAAGAAGAAGGAGACAGGAGTAGCCTTCATACCAGAGCAGAGAAATTTCTTGGCTTGAGGAGGCTTCATGGTGCCCTTCTCCTGAAGCTGCAGGACAGACCTACGGAAGATCCTCTTGATCTCCTCAGACACGTTCCTCCACGCCTTGTCGTTCTTCGTCTTGGCTGCACTGCTCGATTCCATCTGTGGAAGACAGGGAGCGAAAGGGAGTTTTCAATGTTGAAATTGGCACATAGTTCTGCATTATGGAACATACAGAGTAGATTAAACAATAATAAGTAGCTTGATCAATTGGTATGCTTTTGATTTTAGATGGCAGTCTTAACAAAGCCAGAGACCTATACAACTTTGTCGGCAAAGGGAAAGGACCTTAAAGTTGAGTTGGTAAACGGTAGAAACTGATGAAGTTGTTTGGGCCCAACCGATGCAACATAGTGCATTATCTCCACAAGCTGAACCGGACCATAGAGACATTCTATAGTGGACACGTCATCTATATCTGCTGATCCTATTGTCATTGTTTTTGGGTCCAATAGAACTACGGTAGATATCTTTGGAGAGCAGTGGAGGCTGCTGAGGGGAGGACGGCTCATAATAACGGCTGGGACGGAGTGAATGGAATGGCAACGAACACCATGGAAACCATGCGTTTGATGTATTTGATACCATTCCACCGATTCCGCTCCAGCCATTACCACGAGCCCGTCCTCCCCAATTAAGGTGCCACCAACCTCCTGTGCTGGAGAGAGGAAGTCAATGAGATTCCAACCCTAATGTTTTTCTCAATTCCCTCCAGCCTCGAGGAGGTGCCGCATTGAGTGACACAAGCGCCTAATGTTTAGCGAGCCAAAACAGCACGCTAGAAGCTAGCACTGTAGTTACAATGGTGACCGTCACACAGGCATGCACAAACGTTTAGCTACCCACTACAGCGTACTTATAATGCTTAACTTAACTAACTAGCCTAGCATTGTAGTTAAATGGGGGACTGTGACAGCTGCATTGATAGCCGCAGACATGTTTACTGCTAGTGCCAACTCACACTAAGAGTACCAAACTTTTAAGGAAAATGCAGGGCGAATCTTTATAGGTCTCAAACTTTCCACCAGCACAACACATTCTAATGGGGGAAGCAACTTGAAGTTTTAAAGTTTTGTATAAAAATAAGTGTTGAGAGAGTTGTTGCCAAGTGACTTTTACTGGCCAATATTACAGGTGCTTTAAAAAGCTTGTGAATGTGAAGGGCATGTGTTCAAGCATAACAGTTTGCTTAGACTAAAACAGAGCAGAAGAGCTCCCTTTTCCAATGTAAATATGATACTGAACAAAGTTTTGGCTGTCCATATTTTTATTTTTTTCCTACTAGCACTGACTTTGCTGATGTGGTTGTCCCACTAAGCTATCTTAAGATGAATGCACTAACTGTCGCTCTGTATTATAGCATCTGCTAAAATGACTAAAATGTACAATGATACGGATATTTCAGTATCTTGGGTTAGTCTCAGTGAGACCTACCTACTCAATTAGTCTTTGATCCAAGATAACCTGGCCACAGCCATTCCAGAACAACTGTGTCTGAGCATAGCTAATTTTCCCCCAACATAATATATTTCTTAAATGCTGTTGAATATGCCGTGAAAGGTTCAGATCTTACAGAGTTTTGGTAGTTCTTCAACATCTGGGCTTTGGCTTTGAGGTAGTAGGCTGGCGGCACGGCGTTCTCATCTCGGCAGTACCACTCCTCCAGGACGTGTGTGTCTAGCCCCGCTTCCACCGCCGCATCCAGGATCATCTCAAACTCTGGAGCCTCCACCTCCCCTGGCACGCGGATACTGCCGTACTTCTCCCCCACCAGCCCCTGGGAGGAAGGAAGGAATGGACGAGGGATGAGGGGAGGAAGGAAGGAAGAGGTAGAACGCTCATCATCACCGCTTGACTTTCTATGATCATTGGTTTCAAGGTTTTCTAGTTGCTCTCAGTCTTGGAGTATCTTTGAGACAATATGATTTTCGCATTAAAGTGCTGATTAAAGTGCTTACGACAGCCTTTCATTTGTGTCCTGTGTACCGGCCTGCTCAATGCCGGACATGTGGGTGTATCTATTGGTATGTCAGCCTCAGCTTAGAGTTCACGTGCACACACATACACACGCACACGCGAACACACACACACACACACACATGCACTAGGCACACATCGAGGCAGAGTAAATGGTCAGGGCCATCCAGTGAAAGCCGATGTGCATCAGGATTGTATCGCTTTAATTTGTATGTGTTCCTTCTCAATGTGTGGGGTAACTGCTTTGAATGGAAATTAATCGAATGGAATGAAATAATGGGAGTATGGGTATGTCCGTCGGTCAGTGGAGGCTGCTGAGGGGAGGACGGCTGATAATAATGGCTGGCATGGAGTGAATGGAATGGTATCAAACGTAAATTAAACATTCCATTCACTCCATTCCAGCCATTCCACTCCATTCCAGCCATTAAACTCCACTCCAGCCATTCCAGCCATTCCACTCCATTCCAGCATTACACTCCATTCCAGCCATTCCACTCCATTCCAGCCATTCTACTCCATTCCAGCCTTTACACTCCATTCCAGCCATTCCACTCCATTCCAGCCATTCCACTCCATTCCAGCCTTTACACTCCATTCCAGCCATTCCACTCCATTCCAGCCTTTACACTCCATTCCAGCCATTCTACTCCATTCCAGCCATTCCACTCCATTCCAGCCATTCCACTCCATTCCAGCCTTTACACTCCATTCCAGCCATTCTACTCCATTCCAGCCATTTTACTCCATTCCAGCCATTACACTAATTCCAGCCATTCCACTCCATTCCAGCCTTTACACTCCATTCCAGCCATTCCACTCCATTCCAGCCATTCCAGCCATTACACTCCATTCCAGCCATTCCACTCCATTCCAGCCTTTACACTCCATTCCAGCCATTCCACTCCATTCCAGCCATTCCAGCCATTACACTCCATTCCAGCCATTCCACTCCATTCCAGCCATTACACTCCATTCCAGCCATTACACTCCATTCCAGCCATTGCACTCCATTCCAGCCATTCCACTCCATTCCAGCCATTCCACTCCATTCCAGCCATTCCACTCCACTCCAGCCATTCCAGCCATTCCACTCCATTCCAGCCATTACACTCCATTCCAGCCATTACACTCCATTCCAGCCATTATACTCCATTCCAGCCATTCCAGCCATTACACTCCATTCCAGCCATTCCACTACATTCCAGCCATTTCACACCATTCCAGCCATTCCAGCCATTACACTCCATTCCAGCCATTCCACTCCATTCCAGCCATTCCACTCCATTCCAGCCATTACACTCCATTCCAGCCATTACACTCCATTCCAGCCATTATACTCCATTCCAGCCATTCCAGCCATTCCACTCCATTCCAGCCATTCCACTCCATTCCAGCCATTTCACACCATTCCAGCCATTCCAGCCATTCCAGCCATTCCACTCCATTCCAGCCATTCCACTCCATTCCAGCCTTTACACTCCATTCCAGCCATTCTACTCCATTCCAGCCATTCCAGCCATTCCACTCCATTCCAGCCATTCTACTCCATTCCAGCCATTCTACTCCATTCCAGCCTTTACACTCCATTCCAGCCATTTCAATCCATTCCAGCCATTCCAGCCATTCCACTCCATTCCAGCCATTCCACTCCATTCCAGCCATTTTACTCCATTCCAGCCATTCCACTCCATTCCAGCCTTTACACTCCATTCCAGCCATTCCACTCCATTCCAGCCATTTCACTCCATTCCAGCCATTCCAGCCATTAACTCTCCCGAGTGGCGCAGTGGTCTAAGGCACTGCATCGCAGTGCTAGCTGTGCCACTAGAGATCCTGGTTCGAATCCAGGCTCTGCTGTAGCCGGCCGCAACCGGGAGACCAATGGGGCGGCGCACAATTGGCCCAGCGTCGTCCAGGGTAGGGGAGGGAATGGCCGGCAGGGAGATAGCTCAGTTGGTAGAGCATGGCGTTTGCAACGCCAGGGTTGTGGGTTTGATTCCCACGGGGGGCCAGTATGAAAAAAAAATAAAAAAGAATAATGTATGCACTAACTGTAAGTCGCTCTGGATAAGAGCGTCTGCTAAATGACGTAAATGTAAATTCCACTCCATTCCAGCCATTCCACTCCATTCCAGCCATTCCACTCCATTCCAGCCATTCCACTCCATTCCAGCCATTCCACTCCATTCCAGCCATTCCAGCCATTACACTCCATTCCAGCCATTACACTCCATTCCAGCCATTCTACATACGGGGGGCCAGTATGAAAATATATGCACTCACTAAAACTGTAAGTCGCTCTGGATAAGAGTGTCTGCTAAATGGCTGAAATGAAATGAAATGTACTCCATTCCAGCCTTTATACTCCATTCCAGCCATTCCACTCCATTCCAGCCATTCCACACCATTCCAGCCATTCCACTCCATTCCAGCCATTCCACTCCATTCCAGCCATTCCACTCCATTCCAGCCATTAGTACATGGAACAATGGAATTGAGAACGTATGCACATATTCACATAGATGAGGTTAAAGGTTGTTGTCATGAATGCCATAATCTTCATAATTATCATCTTTAACAGCGACACCAACATCATCGCCGCTCTCTCCCTATAATCATTTGGCCAGGGATACAAAATGATATAAAACCCAAGCACTCACACATGCTTGATAGAATAATAGTGTTTTAATCATACCATCTCTGCCTACCACACTGACATAATCTGCACTCATTTCTCTTCTCACTCAAAACTAGGGTCGCAAAGGGTATATTACTCAAAAACTTTTTACCAGTAAACTACCAGAATGTTGGTGTCTCACGAGGATTTTATGTAATCTATCACGAGACATCTAGTGGCCTTTTGGGTACTTCGGATTATCACAGGTGTACAGAATGTATTTAACTCTGGCCCTCTGTGTGGCCTTATCACATGTAACATATATGAAATAATTAAATAGGATGATAAAAAATAAATAAAAAATAAAGACAAAGCTTTAAAACATTATCCTAAATATAAACCATCAATTTAGTGAATATGGTGTTTAATCTTTTTCAGAAAGAAACATACATTATATATACTATACAATTATATATTATTATATTATTGTTATATTATATTGTCAATATGTACTTGTTGTCAATGTCTTGGCGTCAAACTGGTGGCAGTTGTGAAAAAAGTCAATAGTTGGACAAGTTGCTGCCATTGTTGATAAGATGCTTTTTTAATTAATTAGGCTATTTTCTCTTGAACTATATGGTCTATCTACTAGAAACTCATGGACAATATGATACAGATATAAAAAAATGAATACTATATATGAATACATTTAAAAAAAAGCTTTTCAAGTATAAATTACCAACACGATAGATTGCCACATATTTTCTGTTAATTACCAAAGTTACTGAAGATTCAGGTAACTTTGGTAAATTACCGGTAGCTTTGCAACCCCACTTAGAACCCCACTGCTCAGTATGCTTTTGAGCAACGACCAATCCATTACCATTATCATCATTAGGAACAATTACCTGTCGTGGCTTGATCTGCAGAATCACACGCATGCAGGGTAGAATGGGAACAGAAGCAGAACATCACTGGATAGCATAGCGAATAGCCAGCTGATCTCTGCTACAGGACTACGTCATGCGTAGGAACCACACACTGATGCCCCCCCCCCCCCCCCCCCCCCCCCCCCCCCCTCAGGGTAGAGAGGCAAGGGATGGAGATGACTGTGAACTCTCTCAAGCTAAAATAATGTAAGTCTGCCGTCGGCAAAGGCACATCAATGCCAGAACACGCCATTGCGGTGCTGACATAGTGAAAGATCAGCTCCATCTCTGACAAATACCATTTTGAGGGAAAAGACTAACCGATATCAATGAATGGCTTGTCTATGTGTTTTGTCTATGTAAGTGTTTCCCAACCCTGGTCTTCCAGTACCCCCAACAGTACACATTTTCATTGTAGCCCTGGACAAAACACACCTCATTCAACTCATTGAGGGCTGGATGATTAGTTGACTAGTTTAATCAGGTGTGGTTGTCCAGGGTTGCAGTAGAAATGTGTACTGTTGGGGGTAGTCGAGGACCAGGGGTTGGGAAACACTGGTCTATGTAACTTATCATACCGTCAGCTCTGAGTGTTTTTGATGAAAAAAAAATGACCGAGATCAAATGAGTGGCTTGTCTTTGGGTTTGTGTGTCTTTTCTTAGGAAAACAAGTTGGGAGATAGAGCAAAAGACAAGTGAATAGGGTTAGCTAGCTATTTTGTCCGCCAAAACCAATTTCGATTAGGGGCCTGCTGGACAAAATTGAGGCAGTTCCCCTGAAATTGCTTGGCAAGGGATCTGAGGGAGAGACTTGAGGTATGTCGGCTGTTTAAAGACACAAACAAAAGTGACAGTCGTTTGTGCATGGATGCTGACCGAGATCACAGCAAACTCCCTGACATTAAGGAAATGGAAAGTTTCAAAAGACAGCGGGAGATGAGATACATTCTCCTCGTTAGGAATTAGCAACAGTTCCAATCAAAACCCTCCATCGGCTGTTTTCTTTAACAGAGCCAGATTACGGCAGAGCTTTGTGTGGTGCTGCAGAACAGTTTGTCACTGGGGGATAGAGACATCTGGGAAGGAGCTGAACTAAGCTGAGAGAGAGAGAGACAAGTAGAGAGAGACAAAGAGAGAGAGAGAGAGAGAGAGAGAGAGAGAGAGAGGAGAGAGAGAGAGAGATAGAGAGGAGAGAGCGAGAGAGAGATAGGCTTCATAAGAGAGCAGATTTAGTCGATCTCTCGTCGCTCT